TTGCCCCCGGCAGGGCACCCTTAGCCAGCCCGTGCCCCTTTAAGGGCTCCGGGGCCAGGAGGGTAGCAGACAGGTTTCCCTGGTGTTGGCCAGAGTGGCCACCAGGGCAAGCTGGGGAGGGCTAGCCTCCCACTAGTTCGAATTAAGTGGCCACACAGCCCTTAATTCGAACTAGTTAATTCGAACTAGGCGTTAGTCCTCGTGGAATGAGGTTTACCTAGTTCGAATTAAGCGCTCCGCTAGTTCGAATTAAGTTCCAACTAGCGGTTTGCCTGTGTAGCGCCTATCAAAGTTAATTCGAACTAATGGCTGTTAGTTCGAATTAACTTTGTAGTGTAGACATACCCTAGGGGGCTGCACCCCCTGTTTGCTACATTCACCAACCCCCCTTTTGGCCAGCGAGGGCCTGGCCCCACAGCCGCCCCACCTCTTGCCCTGTCCTCCCTCAGTCCTGGCTCTTTGCCATCCCACTTGCAGGGTGGGGCCAGGACGGGCTGGACCCAAGCCCTGCCAGGCTTGGATCTCCCTCCGCCACTGGGAAGGGGAGGGGCAGGCCGGGCTGTAGGCAGCCCCTGCCCTTCAAGTGGGCCTTGGGAAGGGCCATGCTGGGAGTGGGTGGGACGTGGCTCCTGTGGATGCAGAGTGACGTGATGATGTCACTCTGTCGGCCCAGAGGACAATTTTTTTATATATATAAAGAGAGAGATCAAAATCGATGTAAATGTTTATCGTTATTATTATAAAATAATTTAAATTGTTTCATTTAAAACTATTATAAAAATAGAATCATAGAACTGGAAGAGACCTCGGAAGGTCAATGTTAGGGTTATAATTTTGCTTTTCGTTTTAAAATCAATATTATAATCGAATACAAAATAGAATCATTTGCTTTTTCTTAAAATGTGATTTGTGATCCGTGTTCTTGTTTTCTCTCTCTCTCTTTCTCTCTTTATATATGTACAAAAATTGTCCTGTGGGACAACAGAGTGACATCATCGCTCTGTGAGTTTCGGGCGGGGGTTGCTCCCCGCTGACCTTCACTGCTCCGCGCACGGCTGAAATGTGGCCCCTGGGCTGGGGCGGGCAGGCCCACAGATCTTGGAGAGACACGTCAGTGTCACATCTCGCCTGTCGCCCCGGCCCAGCCTGTTCGGGATCAAGGGGGAACTAACCCCTCGCTGAGAAGTGTGAGGCAGGGGGAGGGGTTGGGCAGCCACCCCATTGCCGTGAGGAGACACCAGGCCCCAAACCGCAGGCCTGGGGCTCCCCAAGGAACCCAGGGTGCAGGTGGCCTGAGGGGTCAGGGCAGTACAGGCAGTGGCCACATGGTGGTGGCACAGGCCAGGGTCCCTGAAGCAGCAGCCCTAAGGCACCCCGGCCCGCTCTGTACGAGGACAATGGAGGTACAATCAGTGGGGTGAGGTGCCCCAGGCCAGGAAGCCAGTGGCAGAGGTGCAGGTCTCTCCAGACCTGTCTCATGCTCCGACTCCTAGGCCACGCTCCCCCCTCGCTCTCCACGGGGAAAGTACCTCTGAGAGGCGAGGTGGCGGAGAAGAGGGGTGGGCAGTAGCAGACTCCACCAGCCATTGAAAACCAGGCCTGAAGGCTGCAGCGTTAGCATCTCTGTTCCCAGACGGCTCTTAGGGCTGCCTGTGGAGACGAGGTTGCTTTGTGGCATGCTGCAGACTGTATGAGGGGGAGGACAGGTACCCTCAGCCCCACCCCCTCTACCTGGACCCCGCCCCTTCTGCCTGAGGCTCTGCCCCTTCTGCCTGAGGTCCCACCCCTTTCAAGAACATAAAGACGGGCCCCCTCCACCTGGCCCAGGGTCCCAGCGTGGCTGTCGGCTCTCCTGGCTGCAACCAGGTCAAATGCAACAAGAAAACCCTCTGGAGCCCCTCAGCAAAGATCCCCGCTACTTCCAGGCCTATGGGGCGGCTGTTCTAAGGCCTAGATCGTCAGAGGTGCGTGGGCACCTAACTCACATTGCAACCCATGGGAGTTGGGCACCGAAATCTCTTTGGACCTGGCTCCGTGGCGCTTCAGCCGCTAGAGCCTGAAAGTTCCGTGCAGTCCTGGGAGGGAATTCCCAGCCGGCGCCTGTATGGACAGCGCGTCCCTCCAGGGCTCCTGGCTGGGCCAGGGCAAACTGCGGCTGCCTTGGGCAGGGCCTGGAAGCGAGGGACACAGGAAGCGGGGCCCGGCGAGGCAACGAGGCAGCAGGAACCACGTCCTGGTTGTCAAGAGCTGCCCAGCCAGAGCGCACTCAGCTCCCCTCCCCGGCCCAGCTTCAGCCCTTCCTCTACCCTCCGGCTGCGCAAGGAAACGGGTCTGGCATTAGCAGCACCCGGCAGGCACAAAAGCACCTTCTAGTGGCGGCTGAGACCCCCGGGGCTTCTAACCGCTGGTAAAGAGAAAGAAAACAGCCGCCCTGGTGCCCCAACCCCGGGACAGAGCCGGGGCGCCGAGATGTTAGAGGGTTTATCCTTCCCCTCCCACCGCCCTGCTCCTGCTCCTGCGAACAGAGACCAGCCACACCGGAGATGCAAACAATTCAGTGTGTATTGGGGTCAGCTCCAGCCAGCATGGATCCAATTTTCTTTTTCCTTCTGCCCCTCAACCTACTTCTTGTTTATATAGTAACATGCCCAGCTACCCTTTAACCATCATTTACTGCCATTTAATTAACCAGCCCTAACGTACTGTTACAAGATTAGCTAACCAATTATACCCTGCCACCTTCGTTGGTTTACACCCAGCAACATTAATTAGCCAGCAGACAGAAAGAATCCAGGAACCAGAGACCAGACAGATGCGCCACAGAGCAGTAGGGGCCGTAAAGACAAACGAATGCAGAAACGAGGCTTTCACAACTCCAGCCATTGGTCAGTGGGGCCTTGCCAGACAGAGAGCGCTCCGCCGAAGTCTTTAAACAGTCAAGGCTTTTCCTGTTACCAGGGGCGATGGCCTGGCTCCCCCTTTCCACCTGCCCCGACCTGCCTGATGTGGATACGGCCGGGTTGGGCCGGGTGAGCAGGTGATGGGATGTTCCCCAACTGTCCCTGCTGTTTAGCCAAAGGTCACTGGCGATGAGGGGGAGTCAGGGGGCCACCTCACTTGGGGGGTTACAAACATCAACTGTTCGGCAGTGGAACGGTGCCACGTTGCCACGGAACTTATTATTTCTTAGGTGTATTACGGTAGCACCCGGGACACGGACCGGTCCCCCACGTGCCAGGTGCCAGGCAGTGACAGCTACATCCCCTCTCTGGGCGCGCAGCTTTCTTACTGATCCACGGGGGAGACACGGGGCGGGGAACACCGGGGCTATGTGCCCCAAATGCCACAGGCGGGAGCAAGAGAGGGGAGGGCCCTGGCGCCTGCAGCAGGAGTCTGCCCTCCCTCCCCCGTACTCCGAGCAACATGGCGGCAGCTCGCTCTGCTCTCCCGGACGCTGTGGCACTGGGCCCCGCACTCCCTGGCAGGAACAGAGTGACACAGCTGGGGGAGCACAGCGAGCAGGGGCCACCTCTTTCTGCCTCCCCCCACTGCTGCCAGGGAGGATGTGGGGGGGAGAAGGGGAGGGAGAAAGACTAGCCGGGTTCAGAGCCATGCGCCTCTAAGCGGGTTTACATCCACTCAGCTGCCCTACGGACACATGCCACCATATGCAGCTGGGAGGCTGTCGAGTCCAAAGGGGCCGTGGCCTCCTTTTTTCCCCTGTGGGCTCCCCGTGGACAGCGGCTCCTCCAGGTGCCCGCCTGCTGGGCCGGAGGGGGGAAATGCATTTGGGGGACAGTTTTCAGGCCAGCCCTAAATGCAAGCGTGGGGAAGCCACAACATGCGGCACGTTGGTTTGGCCTCACTACATCGCATCGGTCACAACACTCAGCAAATCCAGGGAAGAAAGGAACAGGAAGGGGTGGAATGTTTGGCCTGGCCCCACCTGCCCTGCCGAAAGGGCCCTTCCTGGGACGGAAAACAAGCCGACCGGCCGACTTCGCAAACGGCCAAAAGCAAAGCAGAACGTTCCCTGGGCCCATTGTGACTCCGTGAGCAGGGGACCCTTTTCTAAACCCTTGTTTCTGCTCACTCGCAAATGAATCATTTCCCCCAGTTGTTCCAAACTCCCAGCAAGCCCCGAGCCCCGTTCTTTGTCCAGGACACCAGCTGGGATCCGGGCACAGCAGTAAATGGTTCCATATGTGCAGCTCCAGGGCAGGAAGGGGACGCAGCCTCCGCCACACGATACAGGCTGCGTCGTCCCCCACTTCCTGTTATCAGAACTCCCGGCAGCTGCGTGCAAAAGAGGAAGAGAAACAGCTGTTGGTTGTGGTGCCCAGATGTGGAGGAGATGTTTCCCCTCGCGGGGAGGGGGTGGGGCTGGCTCTGCTCTGGTGCCAGCAGGTCCCATGAGACTTTTCCCCTCTAGGATGCTCCAGTTCTGATCTGGCCCCAGGGTCTGATCTGGTTGGCTCAGGGGGTAGGTGCTACCCCAACCTGGCCCCAGGGCAGCCGCCCTGGCTGGTTTAGGGGGGCTGGGCATTGGCTACGGGGTCTATCCCAGTTGCGGTGCGGCCAGTTTCAGTAACAGCTCCCACCTGAGCGGGTAGATCTCAGCCTGGGAAGAAGATGCCCGACTTGCAGGAGTTACCCACCCATGGGCAAAGGAGCCTGGAGATGCAGCTCTCTAGGGCAGGCAGGCAGGACGTGGAGCAGTCTGGGACAGAGACTGTGTCTTCCTACGCGTTTGTACAGCGCCTGGCACAGTCGGAGCACAGCTGCCATGTAAATAGCAACAGGGCCCGGAAGGGTGGGGGCTGAACCATCCCCAGGACACCTTCAACCACTGCTAGAGTTCCCCTGTGGGAGGAATTGCCCGCCCAGGGGTGGGGCTGGAGGGTACCTCTGCCGCAGGGGGTATTTGCAAACGAACGGGAAGGACCACGAGGCGTCATAATCATTCCAGGTGACGAGGCCTGCAAGAGACACGGCCAGGAGCAATCAGCCCAGGAACAAAGCAACCAATGGCAGGAATGGGCACTGGAAAGTCATTGGCATGAGAGAGCTAATGTGAGCCCTCTCCCAGGCAGGAGCCGCTGGGGTGCCAGAGAGAGAGACAGACTGATTAGACGGATAGATAGACAGACAGACAGACATAGAGGGCACATAAAGAAAATCTGAGAGCAGCATTTGCCCGGTTCCATTATGGCCTTTGCATCTCACCAGAGCCACCCTTACCTACATGCAGGGCTGGTCCTACCCTGAGGCGGCCGCCTCGGGTGCCAGACTTTAGGGAGAGGGGGGCACCACTAGGACCCAGAGTGTAGAAAATTGTGTCTGCTGCTGGTGCATATGTAGGTAGCAGAGCAGTCCCATGGGAGGAGTGGAACAGGAAGGAGGCAGAATTGAGACCTTTCAAAGTTTTGGCCCAAGCGAGGTGACATGGGGGCATCATTTGAGCTCCCTCCTCAGGTACCAAAATGTTGTGGGCCGGCCCTGCCAACATGCAGAATACACAGCTATGTAGGGCACCCAAAAATGTGGGGCACCGCTGGGTCTTAATGTCCACCCATCTGCCTCTTCCTATCCCTGTTCTGTACCTCTGCCTCCTCCTTTGAATTACCTTAAAAGTGGCAAAGCCACATTTGCAAAACAAAAGGAAGTTTTTCTTCACTCAGTGCACAGTTAACCTGTGGAACTCCTTGCCAGAGGATGTGGGGAAGACTAGGACTATAACAGGGCTCAGAAAAGAGCTAGATAGATTCATGGAGGTTAGGTCCATCAATGGCTATTACTTAGCCCGGATGGGTAGGGATGGTGTCCCTAGCCTCTGTTTGTCTAGAAATGGATGGCAGAAGAGGAATCATATGAGGATTACCTATTGTGTTCCCTCCCTTTGGGGCATCTATCTGTCTGTCGGCAGACAGGACACTGGGCTAGATGTACCTGTGGTCTGACCCAGTGTGGCTGTTCTTATGTTCTAACTTCGTGCCTGACCTATTACCAGACCATCAAACCTGTGGAAGAGCCAGTCAGGTGGTAATGAATGTTTCAGAGGGGGAGCTGAGTTAGTCTGTATCAGGAAAAACTTAAAAAACAACAAAGGGTCTGGTAGCACTTTAAAGACTAAGAAAACCCGTAGATGGGATCATGAGCTTTCATGGGCACAACCCACTTCTTCAGATGGCCGGAGTGTTGGAATTCCAGAACCAAGAATAAATAAGGAAAGGAGGGGGAGAAGGGGGAAAAATTGGAGGAGGGGGAAGAAGATATTGGGTAGATACGTTTCACAGGGTTAGCACAGCCAGTCTGTAACAGGAAAAACTTCAAAAACAACAAACACCACCTTAAAGACTAAATAGTGAAAAGAGGTTGATAAGAGCCATTCGTAAGATCTAGTGGTTTCCTTAGTCTTTAAAGTGCTACCGGACTATTTGTTGTTTTTGAATTTTCCCTAAAAATGGTCACCCCCCCTCTCCAGTCTGCAGCTGGGCAGAGAGGGACCAGTTCAGTAGCACTGAGTAGGGCCCCTAAGGACAGCCGGGCTTCTCACATTGCCAGTTTCTCTGGTGCAGACTGAGTGTAACGCCCCTAGCACCCTTATAGCTCACGTGTCCCCGATCACACACAGGGCCAGGTAGAGACCGAGGGGACCACTCACTGTTCCATTTGTGACCTTTGCTTTGTAAGTGGGTCGCAGTGCTCGGGGGTTGTCGCCCCCCCAGCCTATGTGCATGTGCCGATCTCTGATGCTGGCATATTGGGGAGGGCTCCAGAAACTGGCCAGCCATCAGCAAGGGCTTATGTGTGGCTTGGGGGCCAGACAGCCAATGGTTGGATTGGCTGGTCCAGCCACTCGCAGGCATTGAATCTGGACAGGACCTTCTGGCGAGAGTCTGGAGGTTGAGCTACGGAGCCAGCCCTGCCCACATAGAGCCCCCAAGCACCGGCCCGGCCCCCAGGACAACACTCGCACCTTTTTGCACTCTCCAGGATCCCAGGTAGTTTTCTCCCGGGAGGCCATCGGGCTGGCCTGAACCATAGTTCTGGAAATCATATTTGGAACCATCTGTCCACATGAAGGATCCCTCCTGCAGAGAGAGCAAGGGGTTAGTGATGGACCCAACGGCCAGGAGCGCTGGGGGGAGAGGAGATGGAGCAGCAGCCACAGCTAAGGCATCAGCATTGTCTCTAGCACCTCAGCTGCCCCTACGACTCCAGCTGCAGAGGCTTCTTTGTAGGATTCTCTACGTCCTTCCTTACTGCAGCCCCCTCCAGCAAGGCCAGAGTCAGCCGCACACCAACCCTAGGCTGTGGGGAAGGGCCCTCCCTATTTTACAGATAGGAGAACGAAGCACAGGCTAGATTAAGTGACTGCACCAAGGTGACATGGGAGCAGTGGCAGATACAGGACCAGGACCCAGGATGCTCCATTCCCACTGCACGGCTCTAGGTGCCGGGCCTTCCTTCGGACTGTCGGGCTGGCAGAAGGAGTAATGCCAACCTGGCTTGGAACCAGCTCTGATAGCCAGTGTCACCTCCATCTGATCCGAACACGCCTTCCCCGCACGCAGCCCAGCCCCAGCTCTCCCACAAGCTCAGCCGGTGGGGCCTGGTACTTAGAGCAGGAAGTAGCCTTTGCCAGACGTACGAAAGTGGAAATACAATGTTCTACCATGTGTATCCCAGCATGCTTTGCAGCTCAGGGAGAGTAACATCTTTTCTCTAAGCTTTTTGTTAGTAGAGCTCAGAACACTCTACAAGGCAGGTCAGTGGCCCTAATTTTACACATGGGGAAACTGAGGCCCAAAGAAAGGCTGGTGACTTGTCTCCATGATTAGGGGTTTGGAATGGTTCCCATAAGAAGAGAAATTAAAAAGACTTGGACTTTTCAGCTTAGAAAAAAGAAGACGAAGGAGGGATCTGATAGAGGTCTATAAAATCATGACTGGTGTGGAAAAAGTGAATAAGGAAAAGTTATTTACTTATTCCCACAATAGAAGAACTAGGGGTCACCAAATGAAATGAATAGGCAGCAGGTTTAAAACAAACAAACGGCAGTTTTTCTTCACTCAGCGCACAGTTAATCTGTGGAACTTCTTGCCTGAGGCTATGGTGAAGACCAGGCTTTAACTGGGATCAAAAAAGAGCTAGCTAGATTCATGGAGGTTAGGTCCATCAATGGCTATTAGCCAGGATGGGTAGGAATGGTGCCCCTCGCCTCTGTTTCTCTGGAAACGGATGACAGGGGAGGGATCATAAGGATTTCCTGTTGTGTTCCCTCCCTTTGAGGCATCTGGCATTGGCCACTGTCAGCAGACAGGACACTGGGGTAGATGGATCTTTGGTTTGACCCAGTGTGGCCGTTCTTATGTTCTTTCCATCCCAGCAGCAGAGTCAGGAATAGAACGGGGGCTAATTTAGGCAAAACCTCATTGCTCTTCTTCAGATTGCAATCACAAGCCCACCACGTAAGAAGACCCTCAGCCCCACAGCTGTGACCCCAGTGTAAGCAGCAATGCCAGTCAGATCCCCCCCTTCCCTGGCAGTTGCTCTGAAGCTGCAATCAGGGCTGTGCCCGATGCAGGAGGCAGGCAGGTACCTTGAACGTATCATGTCCGCCGATCCAGTACGCCTGCCCTTTGGTGTAATCCTGCAGCTTGCCCATCAGATGAAAGATGAAGTCATTCTCCTCCGCGCTGTGGATGGAAGCCAGGTGGGCGTGCTTCTTCTGGCTCTGACATGCCACCTGAAAAGGCACCACAAGGGAAAAAACTCAGCCCAGCTCAGAGAGTCAGAGCTGGGGTGGGAGGTGTCTATTAACCGCAGTGTAAACACACCCTCAGCATAAGTCCTAGGGGGCATCTCTGCGAGAGAGGGCTGCTCTCTCTCCAGGCTTCACTCTGAGGGGCTGAGGATTATGTGCTAGCGCAGATAAGGTGCTTCGTGATGCTGAAAAGATGTGTGAGAGGCCACTGTAAATCAAACTATCCATGATGATCCCAAGCCAGGGGACTCCAAGCACTCTGTGCACTAGGAGAAAGGTGGGAGCAGAGGCGGAGTGCTCTTAAACATCTCCCAGCACTTTGCAAAGGAAATCAATAGCTTTATCCCCATTTTACATATGGGAAAACTGAGGCCCAGAAAGGGGGAGTGGCTGGCCCTAGCTCACCCAGCGAACCAGTGCTGGGAATAGAATCCAGCTCTCCTGTCTCCCAAGCTCTTTCCGCTAGGCCCTGCTGTCAGACTTGCCTCAGCGTCGGTCCATTTTGTCGGTGTCATCTCAGCTTTATAGCAGGAGTCTTTATACTGCACCCAGCCTTCGTCACAAAAGCCACGAGCGCAGAGACAGTTCCCCTGGGAGTACGTACCTAGCATCAAGAAAAGGAAAGAGAAATGAGTGTGCAAGAGCATAAAACATCAGTGCAGCCTATCCCACCCATTGATCCCACAGGCAGGGAAGTGTTACACCAATTGCTCATTGCAGGAGAAATCAGTGACTCCTAATCTGAGCAGTTTCTTAGTACACACACCTTGTTTGTTTACATTTTGTGCACCAGTCTTAGAACAGAGGTGGTCACAAACAGCACACTTCTAAGTCCCTCTGTCAGGGTGCTCAGCTCATCCCCCCGCCCCTCCCAGTGCTAGGTTCCCAGGGAGCAACAAAACCTCCTGCCCTTTGCAACAGCACCTTTCCCTGTCCCCCCAAAAAAGTAATTGCATCACAAAACTAACAAGGCATATTTGCCAAGACTGTACACTGGCTCATATGCTAAGACAGTGCGGAAAAGCATCACCTGGTGACTCCACCATACCAGGATCAACACCCTGACGTGGGGAGAAGAGCGAGTGGACGCTGGGATTGTTAATGATTTTCACTGGTTGCTTCGTTTGCCACTTGTATTTTTTTTCATCTTGCTAAATATTTTAGAAATGTGCTTCTGTCTGTCTGTCCATCTGTCTTTGAGTCTACTTGTTCCAGAGCTCCACCTACATGGTAAGTGCCAGGAACACCAGTTTGGTAGGCGGCGTCTTCTTCTCCTCACTTAAAGCAAGGTCTGTGGTTGGTTGTGTCAGGAAAATGGGATGTGCCTGGAATTTGACTGTTTCTCATAAAATGGAAAGGGAGGGTCTTGCAGGAAGGACAGTTATACTGCAGAATGACCACAGGGGGCAGCAAGGGGCCAGAGATGGGGACCGGGAGAGCTATAACCCCATTGGGCCAGCAGGGAGCAGGGTGGAGAAAGGAAAAACTCTCTACTGTCTATTTCAGAGAGTTTGTCTGTTTGTGTGTTTGTCCCCATAGCTGGGGCTCTAGGAGAGCCTGGACAGCCCTCCCTTGACCAGAACAACAACGTCTGCTGTGCTAGGCCTTGTCCTGGCCTTGTCCAAATATGGATCTCTAACAAAGCCACCTTAGGCCCGATACAAGTCTGGTGCACGCACACAGATGGGGCCAAAAAGGGTGGGGGAGAGTCAGGAGTGCTTGCCCAAATATGCCTAACTTGTACAGGACAGCGAGATCAGGCCAAGACGACCAGAAACAACCTGGTACTAGTACATCCCATTTTTGATAAGAGAAAAATTCCAGAGACAGTCGAAAAGCTATTAATTAAGCGCGTTTGCAATTTTTTGGCATAGCAAAATGTATCCTAGATATTGGCATAACAGGTATCTTACGCAAGATGTAATTAATTGGTAGAGATTATTAGAACGATCAAGTCTCGTATATATATGGGGGTAGAAGATCTAATCCGTGGGAGGAATTGAGTAAGAGGTCTCCACTACCTTACTCATTGCAACAAGAAGGTCAACCCGTTCCTACTACCCAATGCATTGTGGACGCCTCTGTGTGTGGGGAAAGGAAGAGGCCAAGACCTCTGACAATCTGACAATCGTAAGGGTAATAGTATTGGAACTATGTGGCTACGTCTAGACTGGCATGATTTTCCGCAAATGTTTTTAACGGAAAAGTTTTTCCGTTAAAAGCATTCACGGAAAAGAGCATCTAGATTGGCACGGACGCTTTTGCACAAAAGCAGTTTTTGTGGAAAAGCGTCCGTCCCAATCCAGACGCGATTTTGCACAAGAAAGCCCCAATCGCCATTTTCGCCATCGGGGCTTTTTTGCGCAAAACACTTTTTAGCTGTCTACACTGGCCCCCAAATACATTTGTGCAAGAGGGCTTTTTCCCGAACGGGAGCAGCATAGTCTTTGCGCAAGAACACTGACAATCTTACATGAGATCGTCAGTGTTCTTGCGCAAATTCAAGTGGCCAGTGTAGACAGCTGGCAAGTTTTTCCGCAAAAGCAAGTGCTTTTGCGGAAAAACTTGCCAGTCTAGACGCAGCCTGTGTATGTGTGTATGTGTGTGTGGAATTGTGTATATGTGAGAGAGAGAGAGATTCATGGAAATAAGTACATATATATTCATATTCTTAAAACTGAGTAGTTTGTGTATTGTCCGAGGTGAGGGTGTTCTTATCTTGTCTGTGCTAACTACCCCGTGTATTGGAATACGTCTGGGTAACCTTGCATTACTTTCCTTTACTATGCTGTGCACAATAAAGTTAACGAGTTTATCTGAGCTGTTTTTACTGGCTCCTCTCATATCTAAAAACTAACCCACACGGCAGGGGCACATGCACCCTGGCCCAGCTGTGCCCACTGGAGCTGGAGTGGCCATGGAGAGGCACTTCTCACCTGGCTCAAGTTGCTGGGGGTTGGGGGTGTCCTCTTTCCCCTGGCTGCTCCCTGTGGCTCTCAGTGCCACATATGGGGCAGAAAGCGTCACTTGCTGCCCTCACCCCCAGCACAATCTCTCAGTTCCTATTGGTTGGAAGCTAGCCAATGGGAGTTGAGAGGTTGGTTGGGGCAGGGGCAGTGTGCAAAGCCACCACCCCACCCCGCACACACACAGCGCAGAGAGCCACATGGAGCAGCCAGCTGCTTTGAGTGCTGGGGCTGCTGGCTGGGAGCTACCTACATAAGCGCCAGAGCCTGCATCTGGCATCCCACCTCCCACACCCCAACTCCCTGCCTCAGGTCACCAGCCTCTCCTGTCCCAGGTCACCACCCAAAACCTCTGCACCCCCTGCCCCTGGTCACAATTCCCTCCCAGACCCTCTGCTACACTCCTTCCCCAGGTCAGAATCCTCGCCTTCACCCATACCCACCCCTTTCCCCTGCACCCAACCCACTGCCCAGATCACAACTTCCTCTTTCACCCAAACTCCCTCTCAGACCCCACACCCTCCCCTGTGTCCCAGACCTCGACGCCAGTGACCTTCTGCACCCAAACCCTGTCCCAGACCCTGCAGCCCCTCCTCAGGAAAGTGTGGCCCTTGACCAGTTGCCAAAATCCTGGAGTGGCCCCCCCTCATCAAAAACTATGGCCCGGCCCTGGTTTAGGAGGCGTTCTTCATCCAACAGACAAACTCTCTAAATATACAGCAGATTTGTAGTATGAGAGGAACCCTGCCATGGAGCGCAGGGTGAAAGACCTGAGGCCTTGAGGAGGACTTTGGTGGAGCGAGGGAACGCAGGGTGCACACTAGGGATGTTAAATATCGGTTAATTGAATGGTCGATAACCCTCATGAATTCTTATTGGTGACTCGACTATTCTATGGTCCCCCGGGGCGGTGCTGGCAGCCAGTGCGCTGCAGCCTCATTCCCGGAGAGCCCCCTGCCACTTGGTGCGGGGTGCCCGGCGGGAGCTGGTCCACAAAGGGAGCCAGTTTAAAGATGAGCGCCCCTCGCAGACCAGCTGCCTGTTGCCGCATGCTGCTGCCTGATACAGAGGCAGCAGTGCAGTGTAGCAGCAGCCCCTGTCTGGGGGGTGGGAGGGCTGAGCTCCCAGACCTGGTGCAAGTCAAAATTGAGCCATGCTACCCGCCTGGCTCCCAATACACTTTAAGTGCAGAGCTGCAATGGGGGTAGGTCCCAGACCCAGCGCGAGCCAGGACTGAGCCGGGCTTCTGGCAGGGGGTGGGGTCCCCGGGCTCTTGGGCTCCCCCCAGGCCAGGGCAGCGACGAAGAGGGTGAAGACGCCTCTCCAGGGCCAGCCTCCCCGCTGGTTCCTGGAGGCCCCTCTGTCGGCGCCCAGGGAACATGGGGATCAGCAGCAGGGACGCTCCGGCCGACTCACCCGGGGCAATGCACATGAGCAGGAGGCAGAGGGCTGTCCTGGGGTCCATCGCTGGGGATGACGGGGGCCAGCGAGAACAGACCGGCAGCACCGCTGATGACCAGAGACACCTCGCAGGGCGGGCTCTGGGGCTGGACTCCGAACACCTGGCACAGGCGGATGCAAAGAACTTCTTGAGTCAGACCTTTATATAGCACCTGAGTGACTCATCACACCGCCCGGACTGAGCGGTGTGTTGCAGCCCTGTTTTAACCCCTTCTCTGCAGGGCGGCCGGCACGGCTCCCAGGTCCGGCCCACAACCAGAGACACCTCGCAGGGCGGGCTCTGGGGCTGGACTCCGAACACCTGGCACAGGCGGATGCAAAGAACTTCTTGAGTCAGACCTTTATATAGCACCTGAGTGACTCATCACACCGCCCGGACTGAGCGGTGTGTTGCAGCCCTGTTTTAACCCCTTCTCTGCAGGGCGGCCGGCACGGCTCCCAGGTCCGGCCCACACTCCCCCAGGCAGAATCCCCTCCCCTGCCGCAGCCCCTTCCCGGGGGGGGGGCTCTCTCCTGGGGGTCCGGGCCAGCGCCTCTCAGGGCCTTCAGCACACTTGTCTCTGCTGTGGGCCCCCTTGGGGAGTCCGGGTGGGCTCTGCCTGCTCTCCCTGTCCAGTTCAGAAGCCCCCTGAGCCTCCAATATCCCCTCCCCTGTCCTTTGTCTTCTGCCCAGGTAACAGGGTCGGCTGGGTCCCTCTCTTCTCCGCCTCCCCTCTCCTCCGTCCTTTGGTCGCCTCTGTCTGGAACCAGCTGGGCAGGTCACTAGGGCCTCTCTCCACAGCCTGTTGTCCGCTGGCCAGACCCAGTTGTGGCATCCGAGTTGGGTCTCCGGGTCATTGGGTCACCAGTCACTGGAGTCTCCAGTCCTGGGCTTTCCCTGTTACCACAAACTCCCTCTCTCCCCTCGTTAAACCTGGGACACTCAGGGACACTAAGCGCCTCCCCTCTGCATGCGACCCCTTTGAACCTCCCCCCCACCCCCCACATCCTCACAGAGACCAGTGAAGGAAGCTCTCAAGCCGCTCACTTTATGGAGTTTGGTCAAATGAACTCGTTGTCTTCAGACAGGGAGTTGGGGGAGAAGGCAGAAGGAAATCTCCCTGGGACCCGAGGACTGGCCAAGCCATGTCTGCCTGCTGCCCCCCAAGCGGGCTAAGGAGTCACGTGAAGGGCCAAAGTGAGGCCATTTCTGAGGTAACCACATTGAACTATCCAGGGAAAGGCCAGACAGGCGCTGGACATAAAACCTGCCCTAAAAAAAGGCCCAGTTGGGGACTGCGTGGTGAGTCAAGCGTGACTGTGCTGCTCTCTCTCCTTTCTGTGCCTGTGACCGAGCCTGCCTGAAAAGCTCAGAGAAGCATCGCTTAGCCAAACGTCACTCCCTCGGCAACACACAGAGGCCCGGTCAGGTGAGCTCTGCTACCATTGGCCTCCCCTTCGGTATGTTGTAAAGAGCAGGCGAGGAACAGGCCGCCGCTTGACACGGGCCTCTAGAAAAGAAGAGGGCAGAACTTGTCTGTGGAACGATCTAAGGCTACATCTAGACTGCAGGCTTCTTTCGGAAGTCGCTTTTCCGGATCTTCTGGAAAATCTTTTTTCGAAACAGAGCATCTACACTACAAAAAAGCGATCTGCTTTTTCGAAAGATAACGTCCACATTGATTGGGCGCTATCTCGCATTTCAGTTGTGATTACTGTGCATGGAGTGGCCACCAGGGCGCACCTGTGGTTTTTCCTGGAGGCCTCTTCTTTCGAAAAAAACACGCTCTTCCACGTCCACACACGCCTTTTTCCAAAAAAGCTTTTTCAGAAAACGGCTTCTTCCTCGTAGAAAGAAGTTTACTGCTGTCAGAAAACCACCTCTGTTCTTTCAACTTTCTGTCGAAAGAACGCAATAGCAGTGTGGATATAAGTGTAGATTTTCTGGAAAAATGTCCGTTTTACCAGAAAAACTCTGAAGTATAGATGTACCCTCAGCGGGGAGCTCTAAAAGCTACTGACAGCTTCTGATATTCAGTATCAGCAAGATTAAAGGGCCTTCTATGACCTCAGTCCTCAAGGACCCCGGTGAGTTTGGTGAATTTGCCTGATCTATTCATTGCAATACATCCCTAATGCTTATTCCACATAACGAATGTCTTCTTTCAGAAAGGCCGTGTGGCCAAGTAGCTAAAATTCACGATGCTTGGGTTAGGAATACAGGAGCACAGGAATTGCTGGACCTGGCAGCTCAGTCTCCTGTCAACAGTAGCCATTATTAGCTGCTGTAGAAGAAGCTGTGAGGCCCTCTTAGGTTTCATCCTGGTGTCTAGTAGTTAGAGATTGTCTTTAATCCTGAAGCAGGTGGTGTGAGATGTGGTGTGAGAGATGGTTGTGATTAATTATAATTTTGAATATTATTCAGTGGTTAGTCAGCTTTTCCATCTTTGATTCTTCTTGGCATCAACAACATCATGTGGCAATGAGTTCCACTGATTAACCCCACAATTATTCAAAGTAAAGTGGCTCCTGTTATGAGTTTTTCCTATTTCCTGGTTTCACTGACTATTCACTTTTCCATCTGTTGGGAGACAGGGAAAATAGCAGCATCTGAACTCCCTTCTCTAGACCAGTCAGGATGTTATAAGCTTCTATCCTGTTCCCTCCTCCCCAGCCCCTCTGTAAGATAACAGTCCCCCACTCTTTTAAACCTCTCTTCATAGGAGAGGTTTTCTAGCCTCTAGATTTGTTTTCTCATCACTCTTTCTCTGCTGCACATGGTATTCAGACAAGGCCACACCACTGATTGGTAAAGGCACTATAATACACCATGTAGTCTTTCCTATTTTTTTCGTATGCACCCTAACATCATTTTGTACTTGTGTGATTGCAGCAGTGTGCTGAGCAGGGTTTTCTCTGCATTGTCTGTATTGACACCCAGCGCCCTGTCTTGAGTTGAGATCTAATTTAGACCCCTGTACCGTGCAGGAGCGGTTTCACTTCCCCCGCCAGTGTGCATAGCGTTGCCTTTGCCGACAGCATACGTAGTCACTTCTTTTTGTACGTCTGACGTTTGGATTCTCTTTCCAGCCCTCAGACATTGATACTCTGGGGTAGGGCGTGTCATTCCCCCCTCCTGCCATTTGCCAGGTGCCGGGTTAAGCAGACTTTCCAAACTTTGACTCATTCTTGGTACTCTTTTCTGCCCCCACTAGCTTCTCCCCATTGTTTCTGATGGGCAAACACCTGACTTGAACAGCTGCATAAACAGAGCGGTCTCAGAGGGGGTGCCGTGTTAGCCTGTAACTTGAAAAACGAGTAGTCCTGCAGCACCTCAGAGACTAACAGAAAAAAAAAAATATATATATATATATATATATATATCATTCTTGGTACTCTTTTCTGCCCCCACTAGCTTCTCCCCATTGTTTCTGATGGGCAAACACCTGACTTGAACAGCTGCATAAACAGAGCGGTCTCAGAGGGGGTGCCGTGTTAGCCTGTAACTTGAAAAACGAGTAGTCCTGCAGCACCTCAGAGACTAACAGAAAAAAAAAAATATATATATATATATATATATATATAAGCATGCACTGCACAGAGCTTTCCTTGGATGGGCTGGAGTGGAAATAACGGAATCCAGGATTTATAACAGAAAAAGAAGCGGGTGAGGAGGAAAGGTACCTGTCAATTGTAGGACCGGTGCTAGTGGGGCTAATTGATTGGGCCAGAATTGTTCCATACTTAGCTTTTGGTGTAAATGAGGTGTTAAATGCAGGGAAGGCTAGCTTAAAAAGAGCCAGGTTAGCCATGAATGAATTTCTCTCTCAGCTTCAGAGTTTCAAGTAAGGGCGGGGTCAATTTGGAGTTTTCTAAGGATCTAGATATTCCCCTGCTCCTTACAGCCTATTTTTTTTTTTTAAAAGAATTTAGGTGTATTCTTATAGGGGCATAAAAACAATCAAAGTCACAGTCTGTGGGTGAAACAAAATACAGGACTATGTAGCACTTTAAAGACTAACAAGATGGTTTATTAGATGATGAGCTTTCGTGGGCCAGACCCACTTCCTCAGATCAAATAATGGAAGAAAATAGTCACAACCATATATACCAAAGGATACAATTTAAAAAAAAATGAACACACATGAAAAGGACAAATCACATCTTTGAAAAAACAAAGAAAAAACAGTTGCTTGTCATTTCAACCAGAAAGGACACAGTCTTAATGACCTGCTAACCTGCATCCTACTTCAGAAGACATTCAAATCTGCACTTGAAAGGGAATCCTCTGAACTGGCATGCATGCTAAAATTCGACACTCTCCGCACCAAGGTAGGGAGAGTGGGATGTTTGTGAGTTAATGGTATTACAGGTGATAATTGGGGAAACTGTCTTGGTAATGGGTGAGAAAGTTCAAAGACTTGTTAAGTCCTTGTTGGCAAGTGTCGAATTTTAACATGAATGACAGTTCAGAGGATTCCCTTTCAAGTGCAGATGTAAAAGGTCTTTGTAGCAGAATGCAGGTGGTTAAGTCATTGAGAGAGTGTCCTTTCTGGTTAAAATGGCAAGAAACTGTTTTTTCTTTGTGATCTTGTCTGATATCTGTTTTGTGGGCATTAATCCTTTGGCGAAGTGTCTGAGATGTTTGTCCAATGTACATAGCAGACGGACACTTTCGGCACATGATAGCGTAGATTATATTTCTGGATGCGCAGGAATATGTGTTCTTGATCTTATAACTTACTTGGTTAGGTCCAATAATGGTATCAGCAGAATGAATATGTGGACAAAGCTGGCAACGGGGTTTGTTGCAAGGGAAGGTACCAGGGTTGGTATTAGTGTGGTATGTCCTGTGGTTGTTGGTAAGAATCATCTTGAGGTTAGGTGGTTGTCTATAGGAGACTATGGGTCTGTCTCCCAGAGCCTCTTGGAGTATGGTGTCCTGTTCCAGTATAGGCTGTAGTTTATTGATAATGTGTTGGACAGTTTAAGTTGGGAGCTGTAGGTGATGACAAGTGGTATTCTATTGTTGGTTTTCTTGGGTCTGTCTTGAAGTAGATGGTTTCTAGGTATTCGTTTGGCTCTTTCAATTTGCTTTTTTATTTCTCCAGGTGGGCAGTTG